ATGAATTATTTTTTATATAACAAAAAAGGGGGAGAATTTGGTTTGAAAAATTCAATTTCTTAATGAAAAAGGGGGGCTTACATTTCATATTTTCCAACAATTGGTAACAATTGATATCTTTTCATTAAACAATTTATTAAGGGGGAGTTTTGCCAAAAACAATTTTTCAAATGTTTTGTTATATCAAAAAGGGGGAGATTGTGGAACTATGTTTTGATATAACAATTTAAGGCAAAATGGTTTTTGGACTTGAATTGAATTTACAAAATGTTTTTGGACTTAATTGAATTTATTCAAAGTTTTAAAAGGTTTCAAAAAATTCAAAGTCCATTAAAATCGGATTGAGCCAAAATGCTAAAGGGTGTCAAGTGCATCCCATGCATCCCTGCGCTAAAGGGTGTCAAAGTGCATCCATGCATCCCTGCGATGCATCCATGCATCCCTGCAGTGCATCCATGCACCTGCACTAGTGCATCGATGCATCATGCAGTGCATCCATGCACTCAAACACCAAATGCAATTAGTGCATCGATGCATCCTTCTGTGCATCAAGGCCATGCATCGATGCATCCTGCCATGCATCCTATCATGCATCCATGCATCAAGGCTGCAACGGCTAGTAACAGTTAGTTTATTTGAATTTAATGAAGGGGTATCGATGCACCATAATAGTGCACCGATGCACCATGTTATGGGCAACCTTTTGAGTAAAAATCCCCAAACGACTCTAAAACATCCCCAACGGCTATATACAACATCAAACACATTCCAAGCTATAAATACAAGCTGAGGACACTTGAAGAAGTAAGAGAACAACTATCCAAGCAATCAAACACAAGAAAGTTTTTCATTCTTATTTCTCTTTCTCTTATAAATATTTTGTTCTTGTGAGCTTAATCTTGTAAACACCTACCTTAGAGGTTTTTTTACTTTTTATCCTTTTGTAAAGGGGAAAGGTTCTAGCTTATCCCGTGTAAAATCTAGGGAAATGTTCTAGTTTAGCCCGGAAAAACTAGGGAGTTGTAAGGTTATCTCTTTGTCCTCAAAAGAAATAACAGATTAGTGAATTTGTTGGAAAATCCTTGGTGAGGAGCTAAGGTAGTGGACGTAGACTTTGGTTTAGAAAGTCGAACCACTCTAAATCATTGTGCAGTTTTTTATCTTTCAATCTCCTTACTCCCTAAACTCAAAAACCGTTCAAACCCCTCTTTGCAAACCGTTTCGGTTGTCGAATCGAGCTTCCGAAAATCCCAACAATATTTCTCAAATGCATGAAGCATGCAATTATTTTTATTTTGTCTTAATACAATGTTTAAATTTTATGTCGAAAAACGTTTTAGTGTATAAAGAGTTTTTCGTTAAAAACAGGTGTCTAACGTTTTCTCCGTTACAGGTGCCCGGACGTCAACCGCCGTTAAATTTGGCTGTTAAGTGACATGTGTCACGTTCTGGTAATTTTTAATTTTATTTAAATTAACAAAATAAAAAATATAATTTTTTATTTTAAAAAAACCTAAAAAATTCAAATCTTAAAAAGAAACTCGAACTTTTAAAACTTTAATTTTAATCCCTTTGCCACCGTTTGTCGCCACCGACTTCGTCAATCGATCAAACACCCCATGACGTGTGATCGGCCAACCACCCACGACCAAAAGCCTCATACTTTTGCAACCAATCGAACACGCAAAAAGTAGTGTAAATGAAAATTTTTATTTTTAAGGTTTCGAATCCATAAAATCCCTTAGATCGATCGTGATAATCGGATGTGGTGGTCGATTGTTTGCCGTTTTGGTATGTCGTGACAATGGAGGGGGAGAAGGGAGAAAAAGGGGAAAGGAGAAGGGGAGGGGAGAAGACGACACTGTTCTTTTTTTTAATATAAAATATTTATAAAAAAAATCAAATACATCAAAACATGACATATGTCACTTAACGATGATTTTTAATGAAAGTTAACCTCATGACACATAAAATAGTAATAGAGAAAACTTTAAACACCTATTTTTAACGAAAAATTCTTTAGACACTAAAACATTTTTTGAGACAAAATTTATACACTTATTTTTATTTCTAGTGCATCTTTACGTCAGTCAATTTCAATTAATTTAATTAACTTTTAAATTTATTTTAACTTAGAATAAGCACCCTGCAGATGCATCCAAAAACAATCCTGACTTCTTTTTTACATTATTATACAAAGCCGTTGTCATGGCTCGTGGCCTCTTTTTATTCCATATAAAATCAGTATATTTAGTCAAATTTATTATCTTTTAAATCATTAATTAAAGTTTATTTATAAAAAGTATAGATCGTGATCAAAGAACAATGACCTAACCATCTGTTGGAGAGCTAAGGGCGGCTTTTCTTCACTTCTTTCTTTATCTCTAATGTTTCCAAAGCTCAAGATAAAAAAAAAACATCGATCATATTAAATATATATTATCTTATAATTATTTTAAATTAAAAAACATTTTATCTTCCATAAAAATAATAAAATGGTGATTTAGTTCCTCTAAAAGTTATAAGTAATAAATTAAATTATTAGAAAGGGTACTCACTAGATCTGAATGTAGTAAAAAGAGTACTCACACAAAGTCAAGAAACTATATAATAATTATTATTTATACTTTACTCACCCCTGCTTTATATGCAAAAAAAAAAAAATTAAATTTGATATATTAATATTCATTAGAAACTATCTTATACAAAAAAAAAAAAAATTCACACGAGTTTGTAGATGAGAAAGACATTAATTAATTCAAATTAGAGAGTAATTGATGTTTAACGTATTGATAATGTATACTTTTGATAATCATCAATGAGTTATATACTACTACCGTATTACCCAATAAAATATAAAATTAAAAGAATAATTTCAAATTTTCTTTGATATTGTATCATTATTCAATTGACCGATTATGTATAAATTATACATTGTTAATATATTCAACACAAATTTATTAAAAAGTATAGAACACATTGTTGAAGAAAAGTGGAGAATGAAATGAGATTCCATTGTCACGTGTTGATGTTTTTTTGAATAATTTTTTTTTGGGGGTGGGGGGGACGACTTTGACCGTAGTAGAAAAGGTTGAGCAACCGATATTCAACAATCTCTACAAAATAGCCACCAAAATATTGATAAATTCATTCATCGTTCACAAATTCTATTAATTCTCAAGCCCAGTCATTTATTTTTTGCTCCAAAAGAAACTAATATAATTAATTTATACATCAGAACGGGTATTTAATTAAATCTAATAAAATTTTAAAAAAATCGAATAAGTCAAATTAAAAATTCTTATTAACATAAGAAAATGTCATACATTCCAAATCTACTTTGACCCATAACCTCCGAGAGTCTAGGCTTGTATGTAGGGATGAGCAAGTCTCAAATCAACTCGAAAAATTGATTTTTTTATTCGATTTAACTAGAAAAATTTTGATTTAAATTGACTTCGAATTGTAATTTTATGAACCGACTCAAAAAAATTGCAAATTCAAGTCGATTGGATGTCCATTTTTGAGGTCCAAGCTTATATTCTTCCTTTCTTCATTGGAAAAAGAAGCTGATGCAGCGGATTGGTACGATTTCACGCCATTCAGATCGATTCCTACGTGCTTGTCATCTAATATTACCTGAGGGAAGACTGAACATGGTACCAAACTCAACAGCAAAGAAATGGTTGGAAGAGTTCCAATTGGTGGACTCATTAACCAGCCCCAAATATCGACTTGCAGCAGCATGGCTGAAATCCGTTGATTCTGCTATGACAAAGTCAATGCCATGGCCACTAGCTTCTTTCGATCCAGGAACAATGGCTATGACGAAGTTCGTCGAGAAGGAAAGAGATCGAGCCAACGTTGATGGAGAGGAAGTGGTGAAGTTCACGGGAGATGGATAGAAAGCATAGCCAATTTGCAGTCTTGAGGTGTTGATTAGAGAAGATGTTGGAACTCCCGTAAAGTTGCAAATTAGCATGACCGAAACCATGATTATAAATGAATTGGCCAGGATCTTGAGCCTTTGCGATGGGAATCACAGCCAGGCATGAAAACAACCACAAATGAAGATACGTAAAAGCAGCAGCCATTAGGAAAAGATCATCGAAAAGCTTCCACTGCAGTGGTCGGTGAACCTGCATTACCTTTTTATTCATTTCCTAGTGCAATAACTTGCTGCAATATATCCAATGAATTCGTCAAGAAGGATAATCAGTCGATGATCTTGAGTTTAAAAGGTTCAGTAAACACAACCTGCAGGTTATTCAGTATACACATTCTTATTTATTCAATACGTGTATATGTAATTTTAAAACCACACCGTAAATGCATGTCTGAATATACAATAGAAATTAATATAAAATGTGAAATTTTTAAAAAGATACAAGAGGTTATATAGGATTATCCCATATTTAATGTTCACATGTTGTTATTAGAAAATTAAAATCTTAATTAGAAAAATTTTAAAGGATTAAGTCTGACAATTGGCAAGTTATATTCGTTACGATTTCCTCAAACTTGAACTTTAATCATTTTCGAGATGACAGCACATTGCCGTTGCTATAAAACTAGCATAGAATGGACTTGCTAAAAATAACCCAACTGGCATACCATGGACTCGGCCTAACGTTGACTTAATTATCGAAAGTTTCCAATCCGCTTAAGGTCAAGCATACCTTAGTCATTAAACATTAATACACGAATTTTAAAATACTTTAATTTGAATATCGAATTTTAAGTTGTGTATTAATTTATTACTAGATTTTAACATTAATTTTAATTACGTCGTTGGACCATTAAATTTGAAACATAATGAAGTAGACAATAGTTTCTATCCTTGTGACAATATAAAGATCAGAACCAGAATATAGCATAACATTGACTGGAAGAAGAATATAAACCTGTGTCGAGTTCTACACTGCTGATGTTCATCTCTAAGTTGTCGCAGTTAAATGGCACTATAATCTTCCGTTACAAAGATGATAGACGTTTCGGATTCAACGACCACTGCTGAGTACAGATATGGAGCTAGAAAATGAATTGGCAGAAACAGAATTTTCTTCATACGATGCAGCAAACTCTGATGATGTTACGTTTCCAACTGTTATCGTATCAATTCTAACGCCATCCGGTGGTATCTCAGGCAAGGTACTGTTTCCATCCAAATGTTGTACCATCTGCCTTGTGCTCGGCCTATTTGTAGCTATGGGGCTCGTACAGAGAATGCCTAGTTTCAAAATCAATTCCATTTCGTCTGTCACGTAATCACCGACCAATCTAGGATCGGCGGCATCGAGAATAGATCCTGCTTTCCACAATTCACAGACCCAATCGGCCAAAATAATTTGTTCAGGCTCTAGTTGTGGCTCCAGGGGCTTCCTCCCACATGCTAATTCAAGCATAAAAGTGCCAAAGGCAAACACGTCGGTGCTCGTAGTGGCCTTCCCGGTTCGAGCTAGCTCTGGTGCAATGTATCCCACAGTCCCGACCACACGAGTAGTTGATGGATTTGAGCCATGATCATATAATTTGGCTAGACCAAAGTCTCCTAACCTTCCATTAAAGTTTGCATCTAACAGAATATTGCTAGCTTTTATATCTCTGTGAAGAACAACTTGCTCCCACTCTTCATGAAGGTAAAGCAGGGCAGATGCTACTCCTTTGAGAATCTGAAACCGTTGACCCCAACTTAGGTTTGGCATTGAATTGCTGAATAGGAACTTGTCTAGACTTCCATTAGGCATATAGTCATAGACCAAGAGAAGTTCTCCTTTTCGCCTGCAGTAGCCGAGTAGCTGCACCAAGTTCCTATGCCTTAACCTTCTCATGCTCACGATTTCGGAAACAAACTCCTTCATTCCCTGTCTTGAATCATAGGAGATCCTCTTGACCGCAACTTGTTCTTTCAAAGAAGGTAAAACTCCTCTATAAACCCTTCCAAAACCCCCACTTCCTAGTAGTTCTTTTTCTTTAAAACCTTTTGTTGCCTTATAGAGATCCTTGAAACAAAATCTTTGAGGACCATATTCTTTTTCCCATTCTTCACGTATTTCTTCATATCTCTTCCTTCTTGTAACACATGCAGCACCAAAGATTGTCACAAGCAATGCAACCACAGCTATTAAAGGGATAATAATTTGTAAATTTGAGTTTGACTTCGATTTACTCCGATCAGGAAGTGAAGGAAGCTTTGAGTAGTCCAGGCTTTGTGCTCGCCCAGTTTTATTAAAGCTCCACCCCATAATATACTGGCTACTAGTTAATTCACCAGTTGATGAAGAGAAGCCGACATACATAGAATCCAATAAGACAGTAGAAAGATCAACGGACGTCGATAAAAGTGGTCGGCTTGGCTTGTTGCTTGGCGTAGGGGCAAGTGTTACATTCAGCAGCTTGTTGTCTTCCTCGTAATCGATCCACAGCTGCATTGGATTTCCAGTTAAGAGGTCCAAGCTTTTATTTTCCCCTTCACCGTCTGCAAAGAATGTTGGTGGAGCTGATACCAAGGATCTCAAGTTGTTTACATCAATGCCAACATGACTGCCACTGATATCTCCGAATTCAGTGGTTGGGACGGCGTCTAACTCTACAGCAAACACATGGTTTGAAGAAAGGCCATTGGTTGAAGAATTAAAAAGTCCCAAGTATTGGGTTGGAGCAGCCCCTGGCAGCTCCATGGTAGGTGAGATAGTGAATGCAATACCATGACCAACCCTAGGATTAGTCTCTTCAGCTGGAACAATGGCAAACACGAAGTTGGTCGAAAATGAAAGGGAATCAAAGATGTTAGTTGATGATTTGTTGAACTTGAGAGGAGATGGGAAGAAAGCATGACCAATTTGTCTCTTTGAGGTGTTGGTTAGCTGTAATAGACCATTGGGTTGAATCTCAGCAATCCCATTCAGATGCAGGTTGGATCCATTAAAGCCATTGAAGACGAACTGGTTTTCCACTTGGGATAACACAAACTGTTCTAAACACATGAGAAATGATATCAGGATGGGGATTGATAGAAGAACTGCAGGTGCAGCCATAGGGAGAAGATAATAAAATGGTAAAAAACACGGCAATCTCGTTTATTTATGATAATCTCGTACATTTCAAAGTATTACAGTGAGTCAAGCTTTAATGCAAGTGGGACATTGCAACCTACATAGTCAGTCACATTGGCTGCTTTGAAAAATCCAGGAGAAAGTAATAGTCAAAACAAAGAAAAGAAATGATCATCTACAGAACAGTGCCATCTGTAATGTGTGTTCTCATTTTATGCAATAATTTAAAGAGGAAGATCAAAGTTCAACATTATACTTGAGCAGTTGGTATAGCGTCAAAAAGTAGAAAATGTTGGTCTACATTCAAAGGGGAAGGTTCTTTGCATTTCTTATGCAACAAACTTTCAGAAAGAACAAGAAGGAATCAGAGTTGAATTCGGAGGCAGGTAAATTACGCTTGTCGACATTGAATTTGATTTTTGTATTATTTTCTTAGGACTGACGGGTTGGGAATTTCTCTTTCTTATGGGACTGCTTCAGGCTCTACTTGTACAATTCAACAGATTTGGTGAGATATCTTGTATACAAACTTTGAAGTTAAAAAATAGTACGGTCGTGTTGATATAGGAAAAAGAAAGAGGAAATATCTTATGAATATGGTACTGAGCTCAAATACTTGTGTTAACTCTGCAAAGGTTGGTTTGCACTAAACCCTTGTTATCCATGACAGTGGTCACATTTTGATCTGAAAAAGTACTTGCTTTTAGCCTCAAAAACACTCTTGATCCTAAAAGCATTCTTGAAAAGGATCGTAGAAGGGGTCTTAATTGATTTTGACCTATTATGAGTGATAACCTATTTTCAATTGGTCACAACAACCACTGAACAAACTTTCAGAAGTTGTGCTTTGGGTTTTAATCGCCGACTAGAAACACAGACGATTGCTGCTTGACCGCAGCCGATAAATAACCCTCGTGTCCTGAGATAGCTCCTCGATGGGCTTGCTTCAGCGACGACCTCATGTGTCGCTTGGACACCGAGCAGTTTCTCCATGCCGTCCGCATGTCTATAGAGCTTTGCTTGACCCTTAGCTTTACAGGCGCCAAATAATCGACGACCAGGGACCACGTCGATGAGTTCAGGGGAATCAGTGATGCTTAGAAAGTGCCTAAACATCGACTCTGTCAGCGATTCTTCTGAAGGTGGTCGGCAATGAAAGATCTGATGAAGAAAGATAAAAAGGAAAAAAAAGAGAGAAATAATGGAAAACTCTGGAAAATGGTAAATTCAACTATTTGCAAATAAATTGTAAAAAAACGTAATTAACCCATCAATTTTTCTTTACAGTGTTAAATCTAGGGTAAAGTATAGTAATGGTCACTGAACTTTTCTAAATATTTCATTTAGGTCCCCCAACTTTTAAAACTTGCAATATAATCCCCCAACATTTAGTCTATTTTCAATATGGTCCCTCAACATTTATTCCATTTACAATATGGTCCGTAACTGTTGGGGGACCATATTGCAAACAGATTAAATATTGATAGACTGTATTGCAAGTTTTAAAAGTTTAGGGACCTAAATGAAAGTTTTAGAAAAGGTTAGGGACCAAAATGAAATATTTAGAAAAGTTCAGTGACCATTACTATACTTTACCCTAAAAATAATGACAGTTAAAATGATATATGTAATAGAACGTATGACGTATATTTCAATATTTTTCATAAAAAAACTAATTTATATTTATTTAACCGATACTTATAAACATATTTTATGAAGTGAGATGCAGAACGGGATTCGGTGGATTTCGAGACTCTAATTAACAAGCCTATCATTTTACACCATTCTCACATTGCATGCCTTTTCTTCTTCTTCTTCTTTTCTTGGATATAAAATAATAACAAAGTACAAAACAAATAAAGGAAATTACAAAGGGATGGTCAGATACATTTATATAGCATGGGATTTGCAACAAACAACTACACCATGACAATGTTCATCTAGGAAGAAAGCTTGGAAACATCCTTACTTGATCTATTGTACTTCATGTGGCTCTTAACTAGTTGACCCGCTGCAAGTGCCGACATGAGTGACAGCTCCCCCGCAAGGACCGCACCGGCTACAATGGTTGCAAGCATCCTAGAGTTTGATCCAGCTACCTCTTTGCTCGCACCTTTAACCCCCAGCAGGTTCAAACAGGCTGACTGAGATGCAAGCTGAGTTCCACCACCAACAGTGCCAACCTAAACAACAAATCACACATCAACCATCATACTCCTAGTTCTAGTGCTTCCATGAACCCTCTCCAACTGAATCTAAACTAACCTAAATCTGCAGTGACCCAAAATGATCCTATCCAAAACATCCAAACCTTAAAACTCAAATGATCCAATCCCAAAACGATTCTACCGGAAATGACCTGAACCAAAATAGATCATTTTAAAAATCAATTACCTCGATGGAAGGCATTGTGACAGAGACGTGAATGTCATTTCCATCATTAACAGCTTCCATCATCGTGATGCAATGAGAGCTCTCGACATTTTGAGCCGGATCTTGGCCAGTAGCTATGTAGATTGCAGTGACAATGTTACTGGCATGGGCATTAAATCCACCCAGAGTTCCATCCATGGCTGAACCAGTAAGGTTCTTAAGCATGTTGAGCTCCACAAGAGATTCCACACTAGTCTTCAAGACCTTCCTCACCACATCACCCTTAATGATGGCCTCGCAGAAAACAGATTTGCCTCGTCCTTCAATCCAGTTTACCGCAGCCGGCTTTTTTGTCAGAACAATAATTTCCTAAATCCGTCATGAATCTCTAAAATTGAGTTATGAAGCTCAAACAAAAGACGAACAACATAATTATAAGTAATAAGCAAATGAAGCTTACCAGAAATGCCGATGACATCCATATCAGGAAATCCAGAACGTTTTGAACTCCCTTGGAAACCATGTTCATCCCCATAGCATCACCAGTACTGCAGGTGAATCTCAAATATAGATTCTTCCCAGCAATTGCACATTTTATGCTTTGAAGCCTACCAAATCGACTTGATCTGCAACCACCCAGAAACTCAAAATAAAAAGGGTAAAGTATAGTAATGGTCACTGAAATTTTCTAAAGATTTCATTTAGGTCCCCAAACTTTTAAAACTTGTAATATAATCCCCTAACATTTAGTCCATTTGCAATATGGTCCCTCAACATTTAGTCCATTTGTAATATGGTCCCCGACGTAACTGTTGTGGGACCATATTGTAAACGAACTAAATGTTTGGGGACTGTATTACAAGTTTTAAAAGTTTAGGGACCTAAATGAAATCGTTAGAAAAATTCAGTGACCATTACTATACTTTACCCTTAAATCTATTTTTAAACCAAACTAAATCTTTTGTATACCCGTAAGGCTTGATTCATCCATCAAATTTAGCAGTGAAAAAAGGAGGGGTTCAATTCAACTATGATTCATCATAATAATGGCTATTCTCTACGCCCCAAGTTCACAACGTGAAGGCTGAAGCTGATCACTTCAGTTAACGACACCCCTTCACAGTTTACCCCCTCCGATTAAGCCTTTCACTTTCAAGCGCTCTCCCAAAACCAACGGTTTCTCCTCGAACCATCCAAGCAACTCTGTAAAGAAATGCAGTCTCTGGCTTCCCATTCTAACCTCGTTCCCTCTTCCACCCACCGGCATTGGCCTTCCCCACTCGCCACCACCGCAAATTGCCTCCTCCCTGAATCCCGAAAGTCTACTTCCCTCTTCAAACCTCTCGCGCTCGACTCCGCTTCCGCTGCCACTCTCCTTATCCGCATCACTCCAATTTCCTCTCTTCTCGGTAGAGGTTGTGGTGGTTCGGGTGGCGGGGATGGAAGCAGTGGCGACTTCTGGGAGAAGTTCTTTTCGCCTTCTCCTGCAATTGCGGACGATAATAACCAAGCCCAGGAGTGGGATTCTCATGGATTACCTGCCAACATAGTTGTTCAACTCAACAAGCTGAGTGGATTCAAAAAGTACAAGCTTTCAGATATTTTATTCTTCGACCGACGGAGATGGACCACGGTAGGAACAGAAGATTCGTTCTTCGAAATGGTTTCGCTGAGACCAGGAGGGATCTACACAAAAACCCAGTTACAGAAGGAGCTTGAAACTTTAGCGACTCGCGGAATGTTTGAGAAAGTTGATATGGAAGGCAAAACTAATGCAGATGGAACTTTGGGATTAACCATTTCTTTTACATAAAGCACTTGGCAATCGGCTGATAGGTTTAGGTGTATGAATGTGGGGCAAATGGCCCATTCCAAGCCTATTGAAATGGATCCTGATATGAAAGATAGGGAGAAATTGGAATATTATAAGAGCCAAGAGAAGGATTATAGGAGAAGGATTGAAAGAGCTAGGCCTTGCATGTTGCCAATGCAAGTGCATAGAGAAGTGTTGCAGATGTTGAGGGATCAGGGGAGAGTGAGTGCTAGGTTGTTGCAGAAGATAAGGGATAGGGTTCAGCAATGGTATCATGATGAAGGGTATGCTTGTGCTCAGGTTGTCAACTTTGGTAACTTGAATACTAAGGAAGTGGTTTGTGAGGTTGGAGGAGATATTACATAGCTCGTGATTCAATTCCTGGATAAGCTTGGGAATGTTGTTAAGGGAACACCCAGCTTCCAGTTGTCAGGAGAGAGTTGCCTAGACAGGTAGAGTTGCTAGCCATTTCTTGGTTTTTATTTCTGATTGGCTTATATCACAAATAAGTACCTAAAGTATACCTACTTTTTCATTTAAGTACTTAAAGTATTTTTTTGTCAAAATAAGTACCTAAAGTTATCTTTTTGGCCAAAATAGGTACTAAAGTATTTTATGTCAAAATAGGTTCCTAAATTATTCAAACTTTTCATCTAAGTTCTAAAAAAGTTGGCCCGTGACATTAATTAAAGAATACTTTAGGTACTTAGATAAAAAAAATTGAATACTTTAGGTACCTATTTTGACTAAAAAATACTTTAGGTACCTATTTTGACCAAAAAGATAACTTTAGATACTTATTTTGATCAAAAAATACTTTAGATACTTAAAATGAAAAAGATAGTATACTTTAGGTACTTATTTATTATATAAGCCTTTCTAATTTTCTGTTTAGAATGTTTGTGTAGTTTCTGAGTCACTGAGAATCTAATGAAGAGCCACATTTTGCATTCTGATAGTTTTTGTTGTAGTTTTTGGCCTTCAATGCTAGTTGGATTAGGATTGATCTTTGCTTCAATTGTAAAACTCTTGAGCATTGTAATATTTGATTGTTTTCTATATTCAGAAACAGATGTAAATAATAAGATAACAAAACTTGTGAATTCTTTTCCGTTTTTGATTGAGACGTCTGGTTTCATATATTCAGTTTCTGAAATAGTGAATTTTTGGTTCCTGGTTTAAGTAACTAGTTTCACACTTAATGGGGATTAGTTATTTATTTCTGTGCCTTTGATTTACAGCTTCGACCAGGCAATGTTTTTAACATTGACGCTGGGAAACAAGCCTTGAGGAACATAAACTCACTGCCTTTGTTTTCAAATTTCGAAGTGAACCCACAACCTGACTAGAAGAATGAGGGAGGCATCATCGCTGAGATAAATCTCAAAGAGCTGGATCAAAAATCAGCTGAAGTCAGTACAGAGTGGAGTATTGTACCTGGACGTGGGGGGCGTCTCACATTGGTATGTAAATATTGTTATATTTTCTGTACTCTGCGGTTCTACATGTAGATGATAAGATATAGTGGCTTAAACTTGAAAGCTGTCTTATATTGTGGCATACTAAGCTTTTTGTCTTCTGTTCAGGCTTCATTTCAACCTGGTAGAACCGTCTCTTTTGAGCACCGAAATCTCAAAGGTCTAAACAGATCCATTCTTCTTCATTGACCACCAGTAACTTCTTGAATCCTCAGGTGATTTTTTATGAACATGCATGTTGTGCTCTCTCTCTGTCATGGTTCTTTCTAGGCGGATCCAAGCCTAGGCCTACCTAGGCCATGGCCCCTTCTATGCCCAAAAAGGGGAAATTACTTATTGAGTCACTCATAAATTGTTTACTTTTTATTTTGGTCATATAACTATTATTTATTTTAAATCACACTTAATTTACGTTTTGGTTCTGTTTTGGTCACTCATCTTTAAAAATTTAGAAGTGATGTTGACATTTCATCATAAGATAACTGTCATATCATGACTGAAAAAAATTAAAAAATTTCATGTTAACATCGTTAAATTTTTTAATGGTGAGTGATCAAAATAGAATCAAAATTGAAGGTTAGCTATGATTTTGAAAAAATAATAGTTGAGTGACCAAAACATAAATTAAGTAATAGACGGGTGACCAACTAGTTAGTTTACCCTAAATAAAAAACATGTATGAATTTTTGTTAGATAGAAATTTTATTATTTAATATTGGCCTAGTCTATAAAATTTTTCTGGCTTAGCCTCTGGTTCTTTCGATGACTATTTTACCAGTGGTTATTGTAAAAGTTTCATCCTAAGATGTTCCTGTTAATCTTTTCTTCAGGATGATCTTTCTTTCAAGCTAGAATATGCGCATCCTCATTTAGATGGTGTTTATAATCTGCGTAACCGAACTCTTTGTGCAAGCTGCTTCAACAGTCGGAAACTAAGCCCAGTTTTCACTGGTGGTCCTGGGGTTGATGAAGTCCCACCAATATGGGTGGACAGGGCTGGTCTTAAAGCTAACATCACCGAGGTAATCTGCTAAATTTACGACAGTTCCTGAAGTGATTTTTGGATTTTATGTACCATTGAATCAATTGTAATTTTAATTGTAATTGACATACCTCTGGCGGAATTTCACCCGTCAAAGTAAATTCACTTATGGACTTGTGATGGAAGAGATACCAACCCGAGATGAAAGCAGTCATATCGCTTCAAACGGTCAGGGTGCTGCCAAGTGGTGGCATCAGCACAGATGAACCTCCGACCATTCTCAGTGGTACTGGTGTTGATCATATGGCATTTCTACAGGCAAATATCACACGTGATAATGCTAAGTTCATAAATGGAGCTATAGTTGGTGAGAGGAATGTGTTTCAGGTTAGCCCATATATATTTACACTGTAAATCTTTCGAGTGAACTAGGTAGTCTGGCTTGGCTGATACTGTTCAATATTGGGAATGAGGTGACTGCTTTGATAATATAAAATTTGCTTGAAACATGCTGGTAAATGGGCCTTAATATATAAGATTTATTCTAAGATAGGAAAGAAAGCCGTTCTCATTATCTTTCTAGCAATTTTAGCCTTTCCTTATCAAATAACCAAAATCAAGTGCCCTCATTATTCAGGTTGTTGGGTATTTGAATATCTCGCTCTCTGTACTGCTGAAAATTGAAATATTACAAGGTTCAGCTTACTCAGAGATTCTCTATCATTGTAAACTATTTCCTACCTTTAGTTGCAAAAGTGTTCATTCATAAATATATTTGGAATTCGCTTAGAATATTGTTTTCTAGCTTACCGCCGACATTTATTTACTTGATGCAGGTGGACCAAGGACTTGGCATTGGCAGCAAGTTCCCAATCTTTAACCACCAACAGTTGACACTTACTAGATTTCTTCAACTAAAGGAAGTGGAAGAAGGAGCCGATAAGCCCCCACCACCTGTTCTAGTCCTCCATTGCCATTATGGAGGTTGTGTGGGTGATCTTCCAAGTTACGATACCTTTACTCTCGGGGGCCCTATTCTGTGAGAGGTTGTAACATGGGTGAATTAGGCGCAGCCAGAAACATTCTTGAGGTAATATGGCTTTCTAATATTTTCAACTTTTAATTCATTGTTTATGTTGTATTTCATGGGAAAGTGTGAGATAAAGGGGAGGGTTCTGATAACAGAAAAAACAGTCGGAGAACTAACCAACAGTTTACATTACATGAAATGCTTAAATTCATCTGAAATTGATGTTCCTGATGTTACATGCAGCTTGGGGCCGAGATTAGATTAACTGTGAGAAATACACATGTTTATTTGCAGAGCATGGGAACGATCTAGGGAGTTCAAAGGATGTAAAAGGGGACCCAACTGAGGTATACAGGCGAATTGGTCACGGTTCATCATATGGCGTTGGTGTCAAGCTAGGTCAAGTGGGAGCTGAGTATGCTGTTGACCTTAACACCGGAACTGGTGCAGTGTTCTTCATATTCGGAGAAAGATATTAAAATGATATTTAGGGTCAAATTTTGCTTCGAGACGTGCGGAACTAGGTATACCATTTAATTGACTTGTTTGAAATAATAGCTTCTAGTTGCGTTATGTTCTCATCCTGCCGTGTAAAAGCTGATAAATCACAGGGAAAATTTTGGTTCTTGATTTATTCTTTCCGCTCTTTGCCTGTTATATGTATATAGGTTCCTGAGCAAAGTCCTTGGTCACGGACGAAGTTTTGTCTCGATCAGGCAATAGGGTGTGCGCATTTGATCAGATTTGTCAACTCCAATATCTTTTCAAGTGATAAGCAAGTCATTTAGTCCAAAATGCTGCTTCCTGTTTTATCCAAATTGCTTCACATTTCTGTTGTTTGCCTCAGCTTGTTCATCTATGTTGAGCTGTTTCCTCAGAAATTCCTGGCCAATAGCATGCCAACGCTAACTTAAACCAGTTAAACAAGTGATATCATGGAAGTATGAATTTGTAATCCACATGATTTACTGTAAACTGAATTTTGAATCATATTTAAGAAACGCCAAACAATAGAGTCAGCAAAAATATTTTTCAAGGTGAATATACGTTAACGTATAAATTTTTTAAATTAGATGAATACATATAAGATTGTAGGGTGGCTATAATTGAAGAAAATTTAGATTTTAGGATGAGTACGAAAATTTTCAGAGTGATGTCATTAATAAAATAAGTAAATTATCGAAGAAAATTTGAATTTTAGGGTGAATCCTAATCAAGCTATGGCTCCCCACTGCCAAAGAATATTTGGCTTTTTACAACATAAACAAATTGTCTGTTTCAAAGGATACACTGTAATGATATATAGTTTTCAATGGTTCAAAAGGCTTATCCTCTTTGACGGTAAGAGATAAAACGTAAAATAACAAAATACTCCATTAATCATTATCCATTTTTTTGGTTCTCCAAAGGAAGTATATTTTCTTTTGTACTAGAGACCATCAGGCCACCAATGCCGGCCATAGCTTCAATCTCGAAAATTTTTCTGTTCAAAGCCTTCTCTTTGTCCTCTTCTCGCTCTGTTAAAGATCAAACCTTGATTCAAAGATGTAACTTTCCAGTAATACGAGAATCGGGAAAACGAATTCCGTTAATTAATGACTGCATGGTGTTTGCTAAAATGCCTGAAATAACTGGTATCGGTGTACGGACATATCTTAGCGGGACAGGAACCTGGGAAGATGGTGCTTTTGTTAGAAGTGATTTGGACACTAGTCATTTGATTAGTGCTTTAAGGTTTTGTAGTGATGAAGGATGCGTCGACCTTGGAAGAAGTTACCATGGTTTGATTGCAAAGATTGGGCTTGATGGAGATGAATTTGTAAATACTAGCCTTATTGATATGTACGCTAAAAGTGGAGGTATAGATAGTGCCGTTATGGTATTTAATCAGATGCATCATCTAGATGTTGCTGCATGTAATTGTTTGATCTCCGGTTATGCCAATTGTGGGTTATTTGATGAAGCTTTTAGGTTCTTCATGAAGTACGAAAGCTTGGGTAACAAGCCGAATTCATATACATACTCAAGTATGCTAGCAATTTGCAGAATCCTCTCGGCTCTCGAAGAAGGTAAACAGCTTCATGCCCAAGTAGTGAAGATGCAGTATTTATCGGAAACAGCTGTGAGTAATGCACTTTTGACAATGTATTGCGAGTGTAAGGCCATGGCAGATGCCGAATCAGTGTTTGAATGGATTCCCCAAAGGAATACCATTTCATGGACTGCAATCATCAATGGATTGTACCAACATGAGGATTTTGAGAAAGCTATGAGGAAGTTTTGCTTGATGAGGGAGAGTGGGATTGAACCAAATGAATACACATTTACAATAGCTCTTGCATCTTGTGGAAGTATGAAGAGTGTTGATAGCGGCCGTTTGCTTCATGCTTTAGTGATTAGAAAGGGGATGGCTTTGGGTGAATTTGTAGGGACTGCAATCGTAGACATGTATTCTGAGCTCGGATTAACAGATGACGCCAAAAAACAATTCAGAGAGATGGGAAATGTGGCCTCTAAAGTAACAAGGAATGCATTAATCAAAGGGTTAGTTCAGAATGAGAAAACAAATGAGGCTTTGGATGTTTTTAGAGAAATGGTAAGAAAAGATGCTGCATGTGATGAATTTACCTTTTCCATCATTCTGAGAGCTTGTGCTTCCTTGCCATCATTCTCGAGTTGCCAACAGATACATGCTTGGGTAGCCAAAGCAAAGTTAGACACAAACACACATGTTGGAAGCTCATTGATAGAAGCATATACCGGATGTGGAATTGTAGAAGATGCAGAGAAGGTATTCAGTCGTATTTCAGCACCAGATGATGTATCTTGGAACTCAATGATCAAAGCTTACTCACAGAATGGCAATCCAAGAAGGGCAATGTCACTATTTAGGAGGATGATTATGAAAGGATTTAGACCAACAGGTTCTACTTTCCTTGCTGTTCTTTCTGCATGTAGCCACTCTGGCAAAATCCAAGATGGCCATGAAATATTTCAATCAATGGTAAGAGAGTTTGGTCTCTTACCAGAACAAGCACATTATAGTTGCATGGTGGACTTACTAGGAAGATCTGGACAAATAGAAAGGGCACTAGATTTTATAAGCAACATGCCCATCAAGCCTACAGCTTCGATATGGAGACCTCTACTTGCTGCTTGTCGGTGCCATGACAATCTCAAAGTTGCAGAATCTGTTGCAAAGCACATTCTTGCTATGGACCCGAATGATGCAACTGTGTATGTGACCCTCTCAAACATGTATACTGAAGCAGGACTACTGGAAAATGCAAAAAACCAGAGAAGGCTGATGAAACTGAAGAAGGTTACAAAAGAACCAGGACGAAGTTGGATAGAAGTGAACAACAAGATACACAAGTTCTTTTCGCACGATAGAACTCACCCCGAATCAGAAAAAATATACGATAAGTTGAAGCAAGTAGCGGTGCTGATAAAAGGAACTGCAGATTCTGCTAATGCAGATTCACTGCAGGTGAAGGAAGATTATTGTTTATACCACAGTGAAAAACTTGCAGTTTGCTTTGGCCTTACAAGCTTGCCAGCAGGAAAGCCAGTTAGAGTTTTCAAGAACCTCAGGGTTTGCACTGATTGTCATATGTTTATGAAGTTTGCATCTATGGTTACAGACAGAGTTATAATATTAAGTGACAATTATAGATTCCATCACTTCAACAAAGGTTGTTGTTCGTGTGGAGATTACTGGTAACGGAAACTTTCTCAATGCAGTGGCATTGATTCACTGTATGCTTCTACTTCAGTTCATCCAAGTCAGAGTGCTATCATCAATATCAAACAGCGCATCCTGATTCGATTGTGCATACAATGTAATGGGTCCCACATGTCAAAGTAAGCAAAGTCAATGTCTTGGATTGTCTGATCATTTCAGTATAGTTTTGAGTTTTTGACACAATATTACCCAAGTGGCCCCCGATGGAACTACATGGTTAATAGCCCTTAGAACAGGTGAACATAGTCCACTTCTAACTGAAACGCATTTTCCCTTTTACCACCTTTACAGAATATCAATGGCAAAGCATTTTCTTCCTTGCCCACCAAAGGGAGTGTACCTATCATGCACCATTAATTCTAATGATCAACCGGTGCCAATGCCAGTCTTATTGAAACATAGTCTCATGATCAAACGATGAAATCGGGAAGACCAATCAAGCCACACCTGATCATCAATGAATTGGCTCATTCGACTTATTTCGCCTCCAAAGTCGATAACCTTTTAACAGCGCAGCCAAGCAAATGGTTCTACTGGTTCCTTCGAGTACCCTTTTTTTTCTGTTGAAAAATATTAAAAAAAATCCGAAGTTCAATCATTTAAGTTGCTCTGATTGGAATGTGCCTTGAACACGTTGCATCCAGCTGAACGACCTTGATACTTGCCACAAACCAAGTTCAATTTGAAGTTTACGGATTATGTTAATGAATCCATATCCAGATGGCACACCAAGGCTTATGTGCAGACACTCCGATGGAAGTTTTCAGAGAAGAACCGACTGGAAAAGGTCAAAATGACCAAGAAACTTTGAACACTGGTAGCCTTGTTTTTGGTTGAATGTTGCAGACTCTTCCAAATATTTGGATAATTGCAAAGATACCATCATATCATGGAATAAAGTACTTAGAAATCTCCAACCAACAAAAGTATATAAACAACAAGATAAAGTACCCGAGATCGATTTAGGTAGAATCACATGCTGGAGCTAGGAGTGACCACTGCCCCTCCCCTTTAAATAAAGGCTAATTTTCTCGTGTGTTCCTACTCCAAGCAAAAGCAGCTTATCAACATGTGATCCTTTCGTTGTCCTTGGCTAGCACCAAGTTGTATAACCGGTGAACCATAACCCCTATGGCAAAGAAACGCTACCTTTCCCAAAGCAATGATAGCAATCCATGCCCACCAGCCCCACACCACTCATAACTTGGTATGATTTCTAAGGAAGAGCCCGGAAAACTTTTTTGAGTTAATTATTCGATTCAGTGTAAGGATCGATTCTTATTAAAACTAAAGTAAATTAGCATGGCACAGTTCAATTCCCACAAATTCCTTTCGGTTACAAAAATTCAGACTTTCAACCAAAAAACGGATAATATCTATTTAACTAACAGTCAACTAAAATCAATAAAACCGATCATTTATAATATGGGACAATGGTAGAAGAAAAAAAAACAGACCTTCGAACAAAAACGAACTATAGATGATGGGGATACGACCCAACTGACCCATATTTATTCCCACCAGACCAATCTCTCTGCTGCAGCATCCCATTCGAATTCGCTTCATATCCATTCTGGTGATGATTCCCTCCTTGATTAACAGGCCCGTACATCGGCACCGGAATCATAGGTGCCCCATAAGGCATCGGTATAGCCATTCCGATATGTCCATTACTATTCACACTACCACTTTCTCCTTTGACGCCGGTTCCATTCTCATGGATACTCTGCGGCACCGGCGTTGATGCAAACAGCGGATCTGAAGCCGATGGGCCTTCGTTGCTTAGTCCTTGCGTTCTTTTCAAGTAAAGCCGGTACTTTTGCAAATGACTGGCGACGTTCTCGCGGGTCAAGCCTTCGACGTTCATTAACTGCATGATTGTTTTGGGAACCGCGTTTTTTACCCCTAAATGGGCCACCACATCCACGAATCTCTTATGCAGCTGCGGTGTCCACACTAAGCGGGATCGTTTCGATGCCTTCCCTGAGGGATCGTCCGAATTCTCCGCCGTCCTAACTGCTGAATTCGCCTCCTCGGCATTATCCATCTTCCTCATTTTCTTAGTTTCGGATCCAGAACCCGAACCCGAACCCGAACCCGAGCCATCCCCTTCCCGTTCAACTACCATCGGGTCATTAATTGAACGGAAATTGTTATTATTGCTATTAGTGGTGGAAGAGTGGGCTCCGGTGGAGCGGAGGAAGCAGAGGGTATCCTGAGAAGCGCGGTTGACGTCAATAGCAGTACTACAAGGCTCCGGCGAGATGCTGAAAGCGGAGGCGAGTTCCGGTGGTATTAAGGATTGAGATAACGGAGTTAAATCATCGCAGTTAGGTAATCCCATCTCCCATTCAAGAACTCTATCGTTAACATCATCATCATCATCGTCAAAGACGGCGCCGGTGGCGGTTGCAGTGGCTTCATTGTTCCGACAGTTGGCTTCAAATTCAATAATCTTCATTTCTCCCATATTAATTTTCAGCTTTTGACCTTCAAATTATAGATTTCTTAAACAGTATAGAGTTATTCAGATATTTGTGAGAAAATCGGTGGCTGATTGGCAGGAAGCGAGAAAAAAGATGGGGGAAAGAAAGGTGCACTATCTGATTTCCAGATTGGTCTAGCGGTGGGACGACTTAGCCAGATTAAATATCCTAATAAATATCAAAACCAGGATTTCTCCATTTATATTCCGCCACGTAAGTGATTTTGGGTAGCAAAAATGAAGTCGCTCGCGCTAGATTGAAGGTGGCGGGGAATTCTATTACGGAAATGGACATGGTTGGTATGGAACAGAAGTGGCCAAGTAAGCAAAGTCGGCGCACTTTTAAGGGTATTTTGGAGAATGTGTAGACTGGAAGTTCTTAGGACGTTTTTGCCCTTGTTTCGTTTTGGTTTTCCAAAAGCAGGCTACACCGTAGGAGAAGAGAATGACGGCGAACTGAACAACTATGAACAGTCACACGGTGAGATCATAGAATGCAACAATCAACCAGGTTTTGAAACTTAAATCGGCTAATGAAAAAAATATAATATTTTTACATTATTTGATTCATAAATTTAAAGACAAGTTATCCAAACTGAATTAAAATTATTTTTTAAATAATTTTAATTGTTTTATAATATAAAATAAATAATTTATACCTAAAAAATGAAATTTTTAGATGAAATTGAAAAAAAAAACAATTAACAACTTACATTTAAAGTTTTACAAAGATAAAGGATATCCATTTCGATCAAATATTAGTATTAAAATGTTGATTCATAAACTTAACCATTCCATTGGTAACTTTATTTCTTTCCTGAGGTGTCAATTGAAAAACAATAACTTCCTTGTTAAATTAAAGATTTCGAAGACTAAACTTGTTGCGACGTTTATGTCGCTGATAATCTAGACAATAAGGCTGGATAGAAATAGTGATGGGCATAGATCGGGTTTGGGTCCAGTATCGATCAACAAGATCCGAAAATTTTACATCCTTCACCCGAAAAAATATATATCCTCCACCCGACCCGACTTTTTGAGATAAAATCCGAACCTAATCCAACCCGAAATAATAATAAAATATTATTTTTATTCAATAAAAACAATAATTTAATTAAAAATAATAATATATAAAAAATATTATTATAATTATTCTTAAATATATAAGATAAAATTATATTTTTTTGGGTCAAGTCGGCTATTTTTCAACCTAAACCCAAATCCAACCCGAACATCACCTTTAAAAAAACTCGACCAAACTCGAACCCGAAATTTTTAAAAAATCAGACCCGATCGGGTCAGAACCCGTCGAATTCGGATCCCATGGCCATCTCTAAATTAACAAGGCTCATGCCACTTCCCCTTAGACCGGTTTCTGTTTGGTCTAAACAACTTAACATGAAACTCCAAATTATTGAATCTGATCCTCTCGGTATTGTTAATAGCACCAAATCAAAATAATTAGCTGCTTCAATCGCGGAGTGATGAGCTCACTCATTGGATGTGAACTCTGGCATGTTTGTGCTTTAGTCAGCAGGTGTGTGGATACCTCAGGCCCAAAAGGGGTCCAATTTATGGTTAAGACGCTACTTTTGATGTTCCTTTTTTTATACATAAAGAGCTCATCACATGCCAAGATATGTTCGTACGGTCGCATTACATTCATATATATTCATCAGTGGTATTTCACTAGCTGAAACTCCCAGTTTTTGCTAGAATTCTATGTATAATAAACCTTGAGAGCTACACGATGTACAGTGTTTTCTTTTCCGATACAAGGTAAGCAACAACATTATTTTCGTACAGTTCTTACCTGTCTAAGAATATAGGTAGAAGAACCATGGCCATTAGATATCAGGGGGACGATGAAAGCAAGAGGGAAAAGCTTCACACAGATTCTGTTAGCTGTACATGTCCCTATACCGACTTAAGACGGGTGTAGAGACTGAGCAGCAATTCTCCTTTCTGAAAACAATGCCAAATCAGTGTTAAAAGGACTTTGACGTATGTAAGTCAACTTTGGAAGAAAGAGTCGATAACTTTTGTATCGAAGCTGCTGCTATAGTAAGAAACTCATTTACGCAATACATGAACAGACTCATAAATATAAACTGATAAGTAATCGCGAAAGACAAGGAAGAATTCGTACCTCCAGCAGTAACCAGTTTCTCTACACGCGTAACAATATGCTTCCCATAAGTGTACTTCTTCAATGCGTTTAAATGGACCTTAATTCGAGAAAGGATCAGTTCCCGTTGCTGGTCATCACAAGTCTCTAGCATTTTCTGTACAACGTAGTTCGCGAACTGATCTTTCATCATTGCCTGGGATGGGCAAATAGCTCAGTAAAGATGAGATGGATGCCATGAAATTCTACCGGAACCATCTCCAGAGGCAATTAACAAAAGCTAAATCCTGAGCACAACGCAATCAATCTACCATATATATATATATATATATATATATATAAATGTATGCACACATAAAGTAGATATGAATGTATGCACACATTCTCTCCAACAAAAAGATTGCCATAATCAGCCGAACCAAATTACAAATAAAGGCATCGTGGTTCATGACTTTTCTCCGTTGATACGAAGAAAGGTGAAGTTATTTTCAGCATTTTTCTTTTCAAACACGAAAAACCGGATAGTATTTCTGTTCACAAAATATATCTGCGGAAAATACGAACCTGAAGAGGCTCATTCTCATCAGTAGAACCAAGCATTTCATTCACCAATAGCTGACGCTCAGCAGGACCACCAAAAGTTAAGCACTTCTCGACAACATTAGATGCAAACTTCTGCTGACTCATCTGGACAATCTTTCCAGCCAGCTCCTTAATTATGATTGAGCGCTCATGAGGTTTTCCATGCTCCAGTACATGCTGTAGATGTCATTTAATGCATCACATAGTATAACGAATACCATAGAGATGTTTAGTAATAATATAAATCAACAAATTCCAAAGATACACTGTAGAAAAATAAGCATATACAAAAACAATTGTGGACAGTATTTTAATAGAAGTGAATGCAAAAGAGTGAAGACCCCAGAGCAGATTCAGTAGATTACTTCTGCACCAACAGATCCAAAAAAGAATGACAAACCTGGACAACGTAATTGCCATACTGGTCTTGCGCCAACAGACTGACGGATCCTAAAATCTCATCCATAACCTTATTTTGTGTTTTTGGATCCTTGCAGTGCTCCAACATTCTCTGCACAAGTAGTAGAATAATACAGAACACACATTGCTCATTTACATGGAAAGGTACTATTGGTCTACATATATATATATATATATATATATATATATATATATATAATAATATATATATACAAGTACTGAACCTGTATAACTCGGCACCCATACGGATGAGTGGACAGTGTCACAACTTGATCAAAAAATGCAGTGACTATAAATTGAATGTTTTCCTCCGGAACACATTCGATACATTTCTGGATCACATGGTTGCCATTTTGATCTCGTACACACCGCATAGCACTACCATCAAGCTCATGAACCATGCTAATCTTCTGATCCAGATCGACAACCTCTATGGCCTTGAATGATAAACAAAGCATATACATATTGTCAGAATGTTGGCGGTATTCTTCGGGTAATAGCATGGGTGCTTTTAGGAAATCTATATAAAAACCAGGATAAGGTGATAACAAAGTTAAGCACAATTACCGTGATTGAAGCATAGTTAGCACATATTTACAAAAAAACAAGCATTAGAAAAAAGGACACAGAATTTTTATAAAAAATGGTTAGAATAGCTTAACCAACGTAGACTTTTTCATTTAATCAATTAAAAAATTGGACTGATCATTTTTAGAAGAAACAGCAAAGCAATCATGATGAAGCTTGATCAGTAAAAAGAATCAACAGCAGAAGTTCAACAAGCAACTCAATGATTAGGAAATAAAGTGTTGAAGAATGACAACCATATACCTTTTGAATCACTCGACAACCATACATTTGAAGACTGAGTGTTAAAACATGACCTAAAAGCTTGCAAGCAAGTTCTCTTTTCTGAGCTGGAAGTCCATGTTCAAAAAACTGTAGGTAGATGCAGATTTACTACGTAAATAAAACATTAAATTATACAACTAAGCAGATGTATAATGGACTAAGAAGTAGATACCTTTTGAATGACATAATTACCAAACACGTCAGTCATCAAAGCAAGAGCTTGAGGCTTGATTTCCTCATAAACCATATTTATCTCTTCAATTGTAGCTGTTTCAAGTTTTTGCTGAATAAAACGGCTGCCATACTGATCCGCACTACTCATAAGAAGAATAAAAATGTCAGGGCGACAATATGCAACATAAAACATGATTTAAGTTAAGTACCTGAACTCAACAACATGACCCGAAATTTCTGAAAGTTCAAAACATTTTGTTTTATTGCTCTTAAACTCTTCAAGTAAGGAGGAGGCGAAGCTCTCAGACAGGTTATATCCTGCATATCCCGCGACACTCCCAGCAAGATTCCTCGTCCCAGAAGGAAACCGCATATTCAGGTCACTGTGTCTGATGGGACTGCCAAGTCCAACTGGAGAGTTTGGAATACTAGTATTTGCTAAGGGGCTTCCAGGATATGACATGCCAGCTCCAAAGGTGGAATTTCCATAAAACCCATGAAGATTAGAACTACCAGATTTAGCGCCCAATGGAACACCATACTGAGATTTCTGTGGTGATAGCAAAGCCCCGAAATATGCCTTTTGCAGCTCAAGCAAGTTCATGTAGGAGTCACTAAGGAAGTTCCTATCCATAGAAGGATCATTAAAAGGTGCAAGTTGTGCTGCAGCATAATCAGATGTCCTCAAATACTGAAGATACATAGGATCAACATAAGGTGCAGGCAGAGCATTCCCAGCTATCTGGCCTCCAGCTCTACCAAGATTATGCGACTCGGATGCAGGATTTGAAATGTTCTGTCCAAAACCCAAGCCTCCCCCAAACACTCTGGAGTCCATTCCATGGACTGGTATAGCTGATGCAGCTGGTAGATTGCCAGTTCCAAGTTGGCTAGCCATCATAGAAGCCAAACCAGGATCTAAAGAATAACCACTTAATCCATAGTTTGGAAGTGATGAATTTGCACCACCATGCAGAAACTGAGTAGGTATGCTGCCTCCGCCATTGAGAGTGGAAGTAGGAGATCCTTTCAAGTAAAAATTGTTCGAGGATGCAGAAGATTTCTGAAACTCAGCTTGCCTATTACTCTTACCTGAAGGCACATCTAAATGCCCAGATTCAGCCTTCTTCAAGTATGTCTGCTGTTTGAAATAATTCTGCCCATCATGCAAACCGTAATAATAATTCTGGTGAGTTTCAGCATCTTGTTCAGTTTGGGATGGTAACTGATTATCTACATCTGGTGCACCATTTGATGACAGGGTCATGCCTGACAAAGCAACTGCCAGATCTGCAGACTCATTGATACCAGATGTAACACCACCAAACGTGCTTGGACCATTCATGTTTCTTTTGTCAGAATTACCGACTCTGCCTCCACCAATTGGTGTCAAAAAAGGACTGGGAGTCCTAGCAACAATTTGGGGTTCAGGAGTTGTACTCCTAGACAAGGAAGCCCCTACAGCAGTAGCATAAGTGTATGAAGAAGGTGGAACAACGGTATGGACAGCAGATGAACTTTGAACACTCACACTTGACCTTAAAGCATCTGCAGAAGCCATTTCATGCAGTAAATGAGACAGATCCGGTTCGGCGGAACCTAAATTCTCAAAGTTCTCATCAAAAGCATTTCGACTACCAGGACAAGACGGTACCCTTGTGACAGGAGCAGAGTGACCCAAATCAGTCTGCAAATATGTTAAACATTAAATCACTGAAGCAAACAAGAAAATAAGTTCCTGAAGTTTTTCAAGCATGAACAAGAAATTAGGGTTCAAATTAAGGAAGATTAAAAACTTAAAACTTCATACGAGAATGATTTCAAGGAGTGCTTTGAAGAAGTCTATATGATACACTATAAACAAGCTACCTACACGTGAACAAGAAGAAATTATGATTAAAAAGAATATGCTTACTAAGTTTTACACATAGTAACATAACTACCTTGGGATTAGGAATCAGTAGAATAACAAATACTTGTATGTCACACAAATGATCATTCTGCGAATACATGAAAATAAAAATCTCGAAACAACTCCAAACATAAATGTTAACCACAGACTTAAAAGAATTGACACATGAAACTATAAGATCAACCACATTGACTGCTGAAAGTTAGATGGCTAAAGAATGCATGTTAAAGAAACAATTACCAGTGTTCAGCATCAAAAGGCAGAGACAAAAAAAAAACGGGTATCATGATTAGACATTAAACCTGAAAAATTTCAGCGAGGCTTTTCTGTTTGCTGCCAAGTCCTACAGCAGGCAAACCAATCAGTCCATCACTACCCCAGTTTGCTGAGCTATGCACGTTATCTGCATCTACTTCATTCTCTTGTTTCCTGGCATCAAGCCCTGGTGGCATTGAAAACAACAGCCGACTGCTACCATTATCGTCCCGATTCACTTTTCTCCTATCTCCAATCCCACCAATCACTGAACTCCCTCCTTTCAACCTCTGTGCAAACTTCCAGTCCTCCTTGGAAAGCAAAGGGGGTGGGAGCCTTGGGTTGAGATTCATATTTGAGTAATAGTATGAATGATAAGCTGGATCAGACCTTAGCTCTTCCTCAGATGCAAAACCATTTCCATTTTTAGCTCCTACAAGAGCTGAAAAAGCGGTAGCCCCACTACCACCACCAGTACCAGCAACAATAGTGGCTCCACCCCCAAACAACCCGCCAACTGCACTCAGTGAACCCTCCACGGTAGGAGGTGCAGAGCCACTTCTATACATGTTTAGCTCTCGTTCGAGATCATCAGCGTCTTGCTTTCTCCGCTGTTCGCTGAGCAATAACCCCATCTCCGACTCCATATCATCTTCAAATGATCCTTCACCACTTCCTACCATTTGTCTCCTACCCAATCCAGATAACATTCTTAATTCCTAAATGATCATTAAGCTTTAACAATATTCCCAAAATCAATGATCGGATACTAAACCGGAAAAACTAAAACTTTTCCACGGTAATACACCTAAAATCCATATTTACAACCTCCAAATATGCTAACTTCAAGCTACCAAACGGGTGAAAGGGCAAAACTTTAATCACCCCAAATTCATAAACACCAAAACCCAAACTAAGATTTTTCTTCAAATTTTGCTATCATAAAATTAATCAACAAAAAACATCATGTTTACCAAGTAAAACCAAAAACAACAAGAATTAAAAATACAGAAACATAGCTAGGGGAGGAAGCTTTGTTTTTGAAGCAGAGATCAAAGATGAGAGTGAAAAGAAGCTTGGAATATATGGAGAAAGAGTTTACGGCTAAGATCAAATCCAGCGGCGGCTATTGGTTCTTATAATAACCCTTTTAGGGTTTTTTACAAGTAGAGGAGGCTGGAATTAAATACAGTGAGGGAGTAACAAGATAAAAGAGACTTCTTTTAATTTTTCTTTTGCTTTGGGCTTAAAGCATTTTTGGAAATTGATGACAGTACTGTTATATTTCCTACAAATCAGGGATAATTGACCAGATGATAACCGACTGACGTCGGTGAAAACATTTTATTTTTGTTCATCATGTGTTCCAGAAACTGACACCTTAACACTTTAGATTCTATGTCACTGTAAGTTATTTTGTCTTAAATTTTTTACCTATATGGTCTGTTTCTGTTATTTTTTCTTAATATCTGAAAATTATTCAATTTTCAAATTCCAATTTACATGCACTACAACTAAAATCTTTAAACATCTAGACTTTACTCCGTTCCCTTACTTTTATTTCTACATGGTTTTTCCGAAACATTTTTTTTTCTCTTACATTTGTTAGCTTCTTTAGATTTTCTGCCCTGGATTTTTTTTTCAATCTTTGTTTAGTTTTCTTGTTCTTTTATGGGTATGGCAAATAAAGTAAACTTCTTTAACTATGGAAACTGTTATTTGGTATAAGAAAATCCCAATTTCTAAAAATTCTAAAATAAGATTTTAGAATAAGATAACCGTGAGATTAAATATTACATAAAATACAGTCATAATTTATGTATTTGGATATTGTTCATGTAATACTATATGTATTTACAAGAGAGACTTCCACTTTTCATTCTTCCGGTAGTCGACATCTAATACACTCTCTCTCTCTCTCTATCAATATATATACACAAGCATTGAAGTCTGTCCATCATCATCATGATGTTACTAAAACTACTCCAATAACATAATACAAGGACATTGAATATTAAGCTTTTCGATCAATCGATCAGCCCATGAGAAATGGGTTGAGGGTTCTCAAAGTGAAGCCTAACCCGACCCAGTTATTGTCGCCATTGACATATTGGTATGAGGATGACGTGTGCCAACCAAACTGGATAAAACAAATTGATCGTTCTTTTGTGTAGTACAATACTACAATCTTTGTAAAGTCGATGCTGTACTGCAAACTCAGAAGTGGCGAGCAAATCCAGGTTTATAATATTATTTCTCTTTGCCGTGTTTAGATTTTAAAGGGGGAAGAGATATCCATCAACTGTATCCATGGCTAGAGTTTCCACCAATATTGCAAACTCAAGTCAACGTCCTTGTTCATCCTTATTATTCTTCTCTTGCAGTTCCCATTAACCAAAGGTCATGATGGACACGATCACGAAGGGGACAGCGGTGACCATGTAAACTTGCATGAGCATGGCTTAATCTTGGTGAAAATATGGTGTTTGATCATTCTTTTAGTGAGCACTTTTGCCGGTGGGGTTTCCCTTATTTCTATCGATGGAACGAAAGTTTTCTCCTCTTAGGCACAGAGTTTGCCGGAGGGGTTTTTTCTGGGAACCTCTTTGATGCATTTCTTGAGTGATTCTAGTGAAACTTTCGGTGATCTCACAACTAAAACGTAACCTTTCGCCTTCATGTTGGCATCGGTGGGGTATCTACTCACCATGCTTGGTGATTGCATAATCATCAGTGTTACATCAAGTGGTGAAAGAGACACTAGAGTGCAAGTGGAAGTGGAAGAAAGAAGAACAGATGATAACGAGCATCCCAAAGATGTAGGAATCGATTCGAATAATCCAGTTTTCTTTAGGACAACGTCCTTTGGAGACACTTTACTCATTTTCGCCTTGTGTTTTCGCTCAGTTTTCGAGGGCATTGCCGTTGGTGTTGCAGGTAAGTTACTACTATACCTTTCGATCACGAAGAAACAACGATATTGATCATAACACTGTGTTACTTATTTCGGTAAATTTGTCTTCTGCAGGTACTAAGGGAGACGCATGGAGGAATCTTTGGACAATTTCACTGCACAAAATTTTTGCAGCCATTGCTATGGGGATTGCACTGCTGAAGATGTTACCAAAGCGGCCATTTTTGTTGACATGTGCTTACTCTTTTGCCTTCTCTGTTTCCAGCCCCATAGGTGTAGTATTCGGCATTTCCATTGATGCCACTACTCAAGGTCACGTAGCTGACTGGATTTACGCTATCTCAATGGGACTTGCTTGTAGGGTTTTCATTTATGTTGCCATTAATCATCCCATTGCTAAGGGCTTTAAACCACAAGCTAAATGTTACTTTGACACGCCTTCCTTCATGTTCCTTGCTGTGCTTCTTGGTGTTGCAGTTATAGCAGTTGTTAAGATCTGGGACTGATATTGCGATCCCTCTTTGTACACAAATGTGTTTCTTTGTAATCAATTGCTATCTATGTAATTTCAAGAATTATCCATACTGGAGTGTATTTTGTGATTTTATTATATCAATAATACACACACACACACTTAAAGCGGGTGTAACATAAAAGTGGTAAAGGAAACAAAGGTTGGCATTGGCAATAAGAACGAGAAACATCATAGATTGATAGATCATCAAATGGCCTAGTATGTAACTTGTTGATTTGCTGCTTCTTAACTGACCAGTGATCAAACAGGAAAGTGATCATCTTTCTTTCACATCTAAGAATAATAAAACAAGTAAAATTTTATGACATCTTAGTAGTTTTATTAGACAGTAACCTATGATGCTGTATCTGATAAGACATCTACTTTTGTTGCTGAGTTTGATGATGATCAATTAATCATGATGCTTTAATCCAGAAGTTGCTGTTTTTTCCCACTGGCTAACCAAAGAGAGCAGTGTTGAACTTACTATTTTCTTATATTCCCAACAATTTATTTCTATCGTTGAATCTCCCTGCTTTGATCTTGTTTTAGGTAAACCCTTGAAATGTGTATACTTTCTGATGCTTCCACATGATTTTTGATTTCCTGGAAGTGGGAAAATTTGAGCTGATTTCTTGTTGTTTCATCCTGTAGAAGATATCTTCGTCGAGATTACAGTTAATTCTGCAGTGGTCAGACTTTCTAGAACACAAAATCGAACAGTTTGGAGGTGACTTGTTCATAAGGTATGCAACAAGCAATTATTCCAATCTGCACAGACCATAGTTTAATATCTTAATTTATTTGAAATGATTTGAGCTTTTTTACAATATTTCAAAATTGGTTGAAATCTTGTTTGATCATCGCAGTCTTTTCTCCCCCATAGACTAACTGATATAAGGCTCAGGAGTCAAAAGCTCTTTTAAGTTATATCATTATATCAAATGTCAGTTGCTTCCAGGTCTGTCAATGGTGGTTTACTTACAGTTACCACTTTTGTGTTTAGCCTAGGTTGTCGTTGGACAGCAAAGACATCATTAATCTAATGGTTGACCTTTCATGTAAAACCTTAATTAGTTTAAGAGGGGTGGGGGGAGGGAACATCCATAGATGCAAGATATTAGTGCTGATTGATGAAGATATTAGTCTATTTTTATCAGACAAGCATATCTCCATGTTTGACACTGGTATTAGGAAAATCTTACCAAAAAAAAACATACCTGTGTCCGATAATTGCACCTAAATTCAAGTGACATAATCTACTTTCATGTGCAATTCAACTTGCAATTTCCTTAATGTTATTATAACTTTGAAAATCTTGCAAATTTTCTGTCAAACATAGTAGTGGTATCCCCTCGTTTTGAAGTAAACAGGGGGTTAATAAAATATAGATAGAGTGCCAGTCATTTTAGCTAAAAAAAGATGCTGCTATTTGGTGAAGGCTGCAACTGAGTGATGCAAGGATGACGGAACATCATGATTAAATGACTATAATACATGCATCTCAGCACAATTCTTGGTTTAAGTGTGTTTTCCAGTTTAAAAATACTTTTCCTTGTAATTTGTTTCCTCATGTTAAAAAGACTTGGCATTCAGGATTTTCTGCTCCTTCCAATTAGGTTTTAAAAGAAATGTTTTTCTCTAATTCTCATGCTTATCATTCACCGTTTGTCTACCTTTAAAGTAATCGTTTTCGACCCTTCGAATACCTGAAAAGCTTAGGCTAAAAAAGTTTGAACACACTTACGTTTAACGCAAGGATGAAACACACGTATCATTATCATATATTCATTTATTGCTACTACCCCAAGTAGAAGTTCTTAGCACTAACATGGATTGTAAAAGAAAGATCTCACCAAGTGTTAGCCACTCATCAAAAACCAGTTTCAGGGGCGAACCAAAAGAAAATGACCCAGACCCTAATTTAAAGATCAATCCAAGGTATTTCCCTTCCATCTTTAGCAGAATACTCATTTCCTACCTCTTTTTCTGAAAGGTTAAGTAAAAGGATGATTTCTCATTCCCAATGCAGATTCGATTGCCAATGATTTCCTATTATTATATTGGTAGCTGCAACAGATGAAAGGAATCTCTGTGCCATCAATCAACACACAAGAAAAGTAAGAAAATAGGAACAAAATTGAAGAAAAAAATTATCAGCCAAAAGGATCAAATTTAAGGAGACCTCCTGAATTTGAGATCTGCTTTGGTTAAGATCTCAAGAGGAAAACAAAAAGGAAATATCAGGGGCAATGATTAGGGGGAAAAGCAAAAGACTTTGGTAGTTAGGATTTGAGAGAAATCTATCTGTTGATAAGAGTCTTTTATTACAACTATAAAACTTGTAGCTCTTCTCATTTTTTAATTACAAACTGAACTAATTATAAACTGAAGGTTAGCAAGAAAAACACTGTGACATTTATCTGTAACTTGATGCAATGGATGTATAAAAATCCATGAGATTCAAGACAAACAAATCCAAGAACCATCTTGCATAAACGAGTGGAGAATAGGAAAAGGAACCTTAATTCCCTACTGATCTATATATGATCATTATCTCCACTGATGTTCAAGAATCTCCGTGTTTGTGCCAGCAAACAAGCATGGCAACACATCGCCTCATAATGTAAAATCTTGCCTTCTGTTCCTTGGCCACGGTACTACATTTACGCGAAATGGATGTCTTTTGTGAAAAACTTCTTGGTAGTGAACATTTGGATGAAGAAGAAGAAGAAGAGTTCTTCTGTGAGGAACTCCTAAGAAGGGGAGACTTGGAAGAAACACTCTTTGTTGAGAAATTCCTTGGGAGTGAGAACTTTGAAGAACTTGAACAATGGGTGGTGCCTGAAGCTTCCTTCTTTGATAGCTTCCACTTCTCATCCATGTAATAAGCTCGGAGGCTGCAACAGTAGCAATAATGGGATAGACACTTCTCTCAGAGTTCGATCTCTTTAATTTAAACCTGATAACCTATTTGTCTGCACGTGGGAGAGATGAACAATGAAAAAAGAGAAGTTTACAAGGAGATTTGACTGAGAAGGATTCTCAGGGCTGCAGACAGTTGTGGGGCTATATATTGTTATATATATAGTAAAGTAGGGCCTTCCTCACAATTCAAGTTGTTAGCTTTGATCTGATCAAAACGATTATTTAGCATTTTAAAAGTGTTAATTCTCAACTCTCCTTAGGATTTTTAGAACTGAGTTTTGCATGTTATATTATAGGGACTGAACCATCATTGTTGCTGGCCTGGCACTATAAAATTGGTCGGTTCTATGAGGATTTGTGAAGCCCTCGTTCTTGGCTCATACATAAGATATTGCCTGATTTCTTCACTCTTGGAGATCCATCATCTCTTTTTTCCTAGACACAATTGTCGTACGGGGCTCCATAATAATGTCAGTATTTTAAGTTTACATCACAAAAGAACACACACATGAGAGTGAGAGAGAGGAACAAAAGGGGAAAGAGGGGATGGTGGGGTGGGGTCACACTAGTGTTAGCTGCTTCTTGTGACAAGGCTTGTGTCCCTTTGTTGGCAGTGTTTGAGGTTAATTTTTTTTTTCTTCAAATAATGCTCTTTTGCAAGTTAGTGAATGGAACTTACAGTGCCATTTTGATTCTTCATAGAGAGTCCCACAAGCTATAAATGTTTGAGGGGGGGGCCTTCTTTGGTCTTCTCTCCCCACTTTCATGTTTGAGGCTTAGATTTCACATATACATTCCCTACTTGTGGTTGAACCACTTCTTTCTCCTGGACCCAACTACAATCCCCACTACCATTTATTGCTTAATCTTTGTCCTTAGAAACACTGATATTACATCGATTTAAGCATCGAAATCACGCGTTAGAGCAATTACTGCAGTGAAGCGTAGAATCTCTAGCAATCCAACTTTTTTATGGTCTATTTTCATTTTTAAACTTAATGGATACTGTCACTTTTCCTTCCACAATGGTAAGTAAAGCAAAGAGCCTTTATCTCCGATTTTCTTTTATAAAACTCCCCCTAATGTGCAGGCATGACTGACCACAATCTTGTGATAAAGGATATGCACCTCCATGACTTTCTAATAGCCGAAAACAACAGTTGCATTCCGCTGAATATGCCCCACCGACCAGCACATCAAATCATAAAAACTCGGGGGGTTTTCAACTTGAAATCTTGGTCACAAAGCACTAATTTTTTATAGTTATATTTTAAATGGTGCTATATATTATTAAGGATCGTAACAACTAAATTACAAGCATAAAATTGTTTATGGGAATTAGGGATTCACATGCACATGCAACCTTCTGGATCGGCAAACAGAAGCTTGAAATTTCAAATATATATACATGGTAATTCTTCAATATATAAATACATCCTCCTATTATAGAATATTTCACCAGTGTGCCCTGCGGAGCTTCACCATGTGTTGAAATTGATTTCTGCAATAATGTTTCTTCTGGTATGGGGACAACCTATAAAGGAGATTTTTATATTTTTTTAAATAATATGGGGTGATTATAAAATAATATATGTTCATAATCTTTCTTAACTGTTGATAATGCATATACGCACTATAGAGGGGCTGCTCGAACTGAATTAGAGTACTTCTCAAAGAAATCCTTATGCTATATAGATTATATGTTCTCTAAAATTACTGGTCTAATTTCCTTATACTTTAAAATTATTAAACATACCCATATGCTTCTTTTATATGATATCTAAAACTACCGGTCTCTTTTCCCTTCTCTTTACTTTACCTTCGTTTCTTTTTAGTTATATGAATAAGATTATTGGATTTGATTGGTCAACTTATGGAAAGGATGGGTCGAAATCAAATCACATGGTGTGTTGCGGATGCAATACAGTCCACTTTTTAAGCCTATTTTAGGGTTTGGCAAAAATATTTTTGATTTTTGCTAAATAGTCATGTGGGCTTTGAGAATATCAGCATTTGGAGTCCCACATGAAGACACGTGAGCTGCATGCGAACGGGCAGAAAAAAAGCCTGTTCAATAACCTCATTTTTTTTTCAATTTCACTAACAGAAAAACATTATGGGACCCATAAATTGATTAAAAAGGAAAAACAGGTCAAAACGTCATAAATTTATAGGAAATGCTCACGTCTAGTCTTAATATATAGTTAAAAAAAATATTACCAGTTTTGTTATTATTTAAATATTAAAAATGGTAAAAAATGATCAGAAATTTTATTATTTTTACCGATTTTGTTATTATTGGACGTTTTACCGGATTTGGAAAAGCGTTACCGGTTTTGTTATTTTTTCTATTAATTTTGTTATTGTTGGGTACTTTTACCAGAAATGTTAAAAAATTAATGTTTTAGGTAAAAATAATAATGTTTTAAGTAATTTTTTATCGGTTTTGTTATTTAAATAATAACAAAACCCTAAACCCTAAATTTATTTCTCGAAGCTTCTATTAATAAAAATCCACTAAAACTTCAGTCAAGAAGTGGTTGTACCGTAGAATTCTCCGTCAAGAAGACTCGCACGTTTCCACGTTGTTTGTTTACCGTCTATTTTCATTACGGGGCATTATTGGAACAACCATCCTCTCTCTGATGTTCAGATCTTGACTAATGTTCTTTTTTTTTTTCACTTTCATTCTGAAATTACAAGGGAATTTTGGTCTCAGAATTAATTATTATTTATTTGTTTTGAAATTTGTTCAAAGTTACAACAGCTTGGTAATGTAAAGTGTGACATGCTCAATACCCGTAGGACTCCACAAATAATTGCTTGGTAGTTTAGGACCACACTTATTCATAGGTACCCTAATGGCTTTGGGCCCATTTGTCCCTTTTGAAATGATATTTTTTAAAAATCAAATATTAAAATTCAGGGTAAACTCTCATTTAGTACCTATATTATTAATTTTGTTCTATTTTAATATTTAAACTTTTAATTTTTTTCAAAACTATACATAATGTTTTGTTTCATTTTAGTACCCCATGTTTAAAAATTAACGCGCTTAGTACTTAAACTATCAATTTTGATCTGTTTTAATACCTAAACTTTCAATTTTTTAAAACTTCACATTAAATTTTGAACATAAGTTACTAAAATGAAATAAAAACTAAATTTTAGGTATGATTTTAAAAAAAATAAAAGTTTAAGTACTAAAACAGGCTAAAAATGATAATTTAGATATTAAACACGTAATTTATCCTAAAATTTAAGAGTTTAAGGATATAAGAAGTTTTCAAAATTTTGGAAAAGAAACTAAAGTTATTATTTTTTATTGAATTTAGCTTTGAAATAAAAATTCAAGAAAATTCAAAATAATAAATCAATTAAATTCTCAAATTAAAAAATAAATTAAAAAATTAAATTTTCTGTATAACTTTTTTAAAAAGTGATTTTATTAACGGATCCATTGAATTTAATTCTGAATTGAAAATTTATTGTATTAATTATGTATGCATATTTTATTTAATTCATATTTTTAAGCACGAACCAAATAATCTTAGTGATTAAGAGATTTGTAGTTATTTTTTGATGTCCCGAGTTTGAGAATCGCATGTGCTAGAATTATTAGCATTTATTTTCAAATGCTTAAGATTTTTTGAAAAAATATTAATTTACATTTACCTAGAATTTATAAAAAATCGTATTAGACAATGGAGATTCATGTCATAAATAATATATATTTTTATACTTACTTGCCCTCCCTTCCTCTTTTAAGCCATAAATAATCAACGTATTAGAGACTGCAGGCTCGTTTTTTCACTTGTTCTCTCTCGTACATCAACTTTCGTAGTTTCTTATATTTTTTTATCCTGGATGATAGTACTAAGTCTAAATTATTGGTTCGTAAATGAATCTAATTTTCTTCGAATTTTATAATTTTTATTGAATTTTTATTTTTTTATAGATAAGCTATATATTTTTATTTTAATTAATTAATTTACAAAATTTTATATAAAAATAATAAATGATTTTATTTATTCTTATATTTAATTATTTGTTTTTTATTATAGTAATTCTTTTCCTCATGCTTAGATTATACGTCATCTCTGTAATGATCTATTCCTACTCTAGATCCAAGAATCAATTCTCTTTTAGTGATAATTACTCGCACCGCTAAGTAAATATATATCGTATTAAGTTGTGATAAAATCAATTTATCAATTCACGTAGTTGTTATAAATAATTTTATATTAATAATAATGGTATTTATCTTTTATTGTTGATAAATTTGTTTGTTTGTGTTTATAATTTTTATTAGCTATTTAGTTTTAATGTTAATTATTTTCTTGTATAATCTAATTTTTATTTTTTTATACTAGTTTATAAGCTTTGATGAATTTTAACGACTTGCAAATGTGATTTAATTTATTCTAATTTTATATTTTTATATTTTTTATTATATTTCTTCTTTATTCGTTAACATTAATTAATATTATTGATTAAAAATAATCCTTAAGTGTACTTATTGTTTTGTTTTTTGACTTTTAACTCAAAGTTATTTAAGTTGCTTGTTCTTTTTTATAACAATAACAAAATAACCTTTGTTCGGGGAGTCAAAGGATTACAATAGGATGTCATATATATATATATGGGGCAGAGTCTGTTTATACCATGTAAAACTAATAAGTGTTACACTAATTTACAACTATTAGATTTAAATAAATAAATAGCTTAGATTTAATAACCCATAAATAAATATCTTTTAACTCACAGTAAAACAATCTCTCTTATCATCTCAATCTCAAGTCTAAAACCTTAAATCCTAAACCTTAAAACTCTTACCTCAAATCTTAAATTCTAACCTCAAATTATAAACTTTAAACTCTGAACACTAAATCTTAAACTCTAATCCTAAAAAGAAAAAAATATTATTTTATTATGAGTTAAAGAAATATTAATTTATAGGTTATAATTTTTTATTAAATCTAAATCATTTATTTAATTAAAT